CCTCCCCTCCCCAACCAAATCCTTGATATGCCAATATTTCTGATAATAAAGCAAAGACCTTACATCTTTATATAAAAAGTCTACAGCTGTATCAACAGAACCTTTTAAATAAAACCCAGGTTTCCCAGTGGACCATCCCATGATGTGCAGAGTATTTGCACATAAACAAAAGGAAGCAATCTCCTTAAACCTCATTTTGTCTGACAGGCAACTCAAAGAAGAAAGAAACAAAAGACTTCCAAACATTCTACAAATACAGATGTTGATTCAATAGCACTTGGTACATCGTCAGGTGATGTTCTTGTATATAATGTGTCTGCCGGAGAAGTAAACCAGAGATTGGTAAGTTAGTTTTATTGCTATATTGTGCTGCTAAATGTTGAAGGTACTATTTCACTGATGGTACCTCCATCTCAGCCTTCCCTGACAGTCTTCCTTATTCACACCAAGTCTTGTTTCTTGTGGTATATTTTTACTTATTTAAGACAAGTAGTGTGTTTCTACAAGTAATCTTATGGTATGCTGCAATCCAAATCTGGCATGGTGCTCTCATGGTTAGTGCGCTCATCTCCGGATTGAGTTGTTCGGGTTCGAGCCCTGGCCGGAGACATGGTGTTGTGTTCTTGGGCCAGACACTTACATGTAACTCTCACATTACCTCTCTCCACCCAGGTGGGTGAAATTAATAAATGGGTACTGGCAAACTTTATGCTGGGGGTAACCCTGCGATGGACTAGCATCCCATCCAGGGGGGAGTGGAAATACTCCCACTTGCTTTGTGCTACAGAAACTGGGATAAGCTTTGGCCTGATGGGCCACTTGTCTCGTATGCACACTTTAACTTACTACTCCAAATCAGGTGTTCTAGGTATGAGCCCTTGCCAGGGACATTGTGTTGTGTTCTTGGGCAAGACACTTTGCTGTCACAGAGCCTCTCTCCACCCAGGAAAATGAATGGGTACCAGTGTCTTACTAGGGTAACCTTGCAGAATGCTTAGAACAACCCTACAATGAACTACAATTATTGTAGCATCCAATCTAGGAGTTTGAGGTGGGGTAAAAATACACCTGGCCACTTCATGTTGTAGAAACTAGAGTTAAGCACTGAGAGCTATGAGCCAGTTGCCAGGGCTTGACCATTTGGATCCCAGGAGTGATCAAAATCTAATTTCTCATCACAATGCCAATCTATTATCAAGCAAACAGGTGGCAAGACTGAAGAAAATCAGTAAAGCAATTTTGTCTTGATGTGCCACCAAATTCTCAAAACTGACATAAAAAAAAACTGTATGGCTGTCAGTAAGAAGAACTGACATTTTGAACTTGGGACTGAAAGGGTTAAGGGACTTTACTTTTTACGTGAAGTCTATTGTAGCTTGTTTACAATGTAAGCCGATGCCTTCTGGAGAAATGTCTATGCACCAAATGACTTCTTTTTGAGGGAGATTATGCAAAAAAATCATATAATTTCTTACGCACAAGAGTGGAAAAGCCATGAGAAACTGTACATGAATACAGATAAAGTGTATAAGCTTGATCTTCTTGTAACACTTTACTGTAAGAAATCATGGGAAACAGGGCTGTGCTCTAGAAGTGCCGGGGCACCACAGAGGACTAACTTTTTGCCTTTGGCTGAAAAGTTTTACTTTTTTCTTACACTGGTTTGGAACCTTTGGGCTCCTCATAATTTTTCTTGGACTACAACCTTGGGAAAGAATGTTTGTGTACTGTGGAAACATATCATTTGAATATGCCTCACAAAGTGAAGGTTCCTATATTTTCACTGCGCTGTATTAATATATCTATTGATTATATTATGAATATCGATCGAGTGTTGATATCTTTTAGCAATTAATGCGCTTGATAACAGCTTAGCTTGAGCTTCAGTTTACCAGGCTTGTTAGTGGACTCTCCTTACATGTACGCGGTGTCTGCATACAGGCACAGATCAGCTAAAATACCCTTTTGCAACCTTCAATAACAGCCTTTTCCTTACAAAATAAAATAACCATTAAGCAATGCATTTCTCAAGTTGATAAATTATTAACAAAAGAATGAATTTTGCCCACAGCAATGTTTGGGTTTGCAAAAGTCAAATCTTGATTAATGAGTACTCAAACATGATAAATTTTGATGTTGTATGAATAATTTATATTCAGTTTTTTGGAGATCATTTGCAAGTGCATTTACTAGGCCAAGACATGAATATTTGATTAAAGAACCTTTTTAAAGTCCCTCATGAAAGCTTTAACATGTTGAGTTAGGCAGTTATTTCTTTATAATGTTCTTCTTGCATATTAACTTTCCTTCAAAAAAGGTCCTCATGGCTCTGAGTTAGTTATTTTTATCAGATCGATCTAGAGAATGGGTACATGTACATGTACTGTATGTCCACTGTATCACATGCTTTGTTCCAGCTAACTTAAAGTTCATATTTTTTCGGTATGGATAAAGCAACATTTGACAAATTTTTGCAGCACTTTTACAGCTGTTCATTTTGGGTTGTCAATTCATTTTTCAAGACCAGAAACACCATGTTATGAATATCTTTAGGTCTTTAGGTACATGCACATCTTTATTTTTCCTTAACAGCCTTTCTAGATTATATACAGTGCATTTATAATTCATGTATTAAACAATACTACTAGATGAGGTTTTTGTGATATCCAGATTAATCAAGGTCAAGGTAGGGGTTATCAGCCTCCGCCTGCTGCTTCGCCTGATAACCCTTACCGAGACCAACACAAAGTGTGCGAACTTGACGTGATTACCCTTAGAAATCTTGCACCATGGTCATACATGACATGATTACCCATGTCCTTGAGTGTCCTTGACATGATTATTGTATAATCTGCAGCTAGATGACACAGATGCTGCTTTGGAAAATTCACTGTACACTTTCAGCCAATCAGAAAAAAGATATTGAGTTCACTGTATAATACTGTTATTAATTTGTACCTTTGAAGGAGGGAGGACATGACAACAGAGTTAATGATCTGTGTTGGAGTGAAGATGATAGCACGTTGTATTCTTGTTCAAATGATAAACATGTAACAGAGTGGAACACAGAAAATGGGCAAAGAAAAAGGTGAGACATCTTCTCTGTTGACACTTTATTTCCCGGCATGCAGTAGACTACAGACTTCTGATTGTGCAGTTGCACTTCAAAGAAATTGAACCCTCAATACCAGATTCTGCATGTGTTGATTAAATATGTATAAAGGCTTTTGCAAGTTTAGGTGGATATCATTCTACTGCGATTATCAGTTGAGTAAGACACGACAGAACTTTGGTGACCACGTTTTAATGTTCAACTTGTGTTAATGTCAGGGGTAACTGGCTCTGTTTCTAGTGGCAACTTATCGGCCTTTGACCTCATGAGCAGCAAAGCATGCAAAATTGTAGGTAATGATATTGTTACTATTGGAAATGAGGAAAATTGCCTGTGGCGACTCCATAATTTTAAGCCCAAAACTCTGTCACCAAAGCTCTATTACGCATTACTCAACTGGTAATCGTAGTAAGCTAGTAGACTTACACTAACCCATTTTACACCCGAGGAATACGGTAGATGCATTTTTTGCCCATTGGCTCACATCAACCTGTACAACTTAGGGAAACTCTAGCTTTCAGAGCACTTTCAGTTTTGAGGACAGCATTGAAGACCCTGGAGTTTGAATACCATGTATCATTGATAGTAAATGGTTTAAACCCAGGAGTATCAGTAGTTCACCTTGTGTGATCATCCAGGTGAGGGTAGGTGTAAAAAAAACTGTTGTTGGTGACTGACATTTTGACAACCTGAGCAGAAGTTATCGTCAGAGTGAAGAGAACAGTGTTTGTCAGTCAATGGTGTCATAAGTCTGGTCCATTGAAAGTGATTCCCAAGGTCAGTTTAACCATGATGATATTGGCTGGAAGACTCGTGTAAAGTTTGTCAACAGTCATTGGTTGGTTCTAGTAAGTTTCAATCTGTCTATTGTAAGTCAAATAAAGTTAGTATGTTTGAGTGTTTGTTCTGAATTAGTGTACTAACTCTCTATAGTCAGTTATTGTCTTACTGATTTCCGCTAAGGCTGTCAAAACGTCAGTCACCAACAACAGTTCTTTTCAGAACTACCCTCACAGTGACAATCACACCATACAAACTAATACAGTCTGTAACTGCATATGTCATATATGGTATTGTGAGTTGTAAATATTACTTTTCCATGTTGTTATTCCTGACAGCAAATGGAAAGCTGACAAACATGGTGTAGCATGCATCAGACTTGGTCCAAAAGGAAATACACTTCTCTCAGCTGGAAGAAATATTAAACTATGGGACCTGGAAACCAAAGAAACACTTAAAGTAAGAAGAGTAGAAATAAGTCTGTTGGTTACAGTAGTGTGAGTGCTGGTGAGAAAGTGAACACCATTTTCAATGTATTATGAACTTGAAATAATCAAATACATGCAGTTCTTACTAATTTTTTTTAAAAAAAAGACAAAGAAAAGTAAGCTGACATTTCAAGAACTGCATGTACTGTAGGTAGACTTAATTAGTCAAGTGCAAATTGGTGGATTTTAGTTCACATGGTTAAAATTGGTTTTACATTTATTTAATCATATCCCTAACAAAATGCTGATTGAGATTGGTTCTACATAGTACATGTATGTATCCAATTGCCAGGGCTGTCATTAAGGGCCGTAACCCATAACACCTGTTACAGCTGAGTATGCGTGATTTTCCCTTGATATTACCAGTGAAATTGCCTGTAGTTGATCAAATTCAACCACAAAGTAACAAGTTTGCTACGGGTGTGGAGAATGAGGCTACAGGTGACTCAAAACTTAATGACAGCCCTGCAATTACAATGTTAATTCCTGGTTTCCTTCTTTAGAAATTTACAGGTCATGCATCTCCAGTGTCACATCTCTTGTTTATTCCAAGTCCCCAGTCACATGACTCAAACGCAAACCACATTCCAATTAATGGTATTAATGGTCAATACTTCATTTCGGGAGCAGAGCAGGACAGATTAATGAATATCTGGTGAGTGTATTGGTGTATGCAGGAAATAAGCTAAAACAAGGGTTCTTCCCTTACACAGGTATCTATCCAAGGCCCTGTCCACACTTGAAAATGAAGATTTCGCTCTGAAAATGTGTCAAATGATTTCCGTCCTAACTACACCAGAGGAATTTAAAAATGCAACAGTCACCATTGATTTTGGATTTGTCTTAAAGGAAAACAACGTGATTATTAAGGTGCCATTTTCAAAACGCTGTGTTTTCAAATTGTTTTCTGTCCACACACACACATACACATAAAAAATGGCATTTTCATATTCTATCGGTTTGTTGAAGACCATTTTCGAAAAAGCTCTGTTTTAATGACAGAGTGTGGTTGGTAGGCCAAATAGTAGAAATAAATCTGTGTTTTCAGATTCCTCCAGCGCAGTGTGGACTCTGCCAAAGTTAACAATTTTCTGTCCCTCATCAAGTACCATACGGTAAAACCTCCATAAATAGATGCCTTCCTTATAATTATATGGACACCGGTCGTAAGCAGACTCTAAGCATTGTGCTAAGAAAGTCATGTCCATGCCTGGGGCTAGTGGATGGTGTTGCTGTTGGGCTAGTGGGTTCTGTTCAGCAAGTGAAGTTTGTTGGGAAAAATTTGTGAGGAAATTCAAATTACAGAAAGACTAAAAGAGATGAAATTTCTTGAGGAGGGGGGTAGCAAGAATGACTTTTGGGGCTAGTAGATCATACATGTAGTTAAAGCTTGCTTGAAGGGTAAGCCCAAAATTTGGTTTTCTTTGCAATTGGGCCCTGCTTAGTTATGGACCCAACCACAAGCAAACTCCACATTTTAACCTTCTGTAAAGGTCTATATCTTTCTCCGCAGTTCAAATATATGATCTTTCATATATTCACTTGTATAGGACACCTCCATCAGGCACTTTTTTGGTCCCAAAAAAGCACCTTTACCAAAGGTTTCACTGTGTTATTTCAATTTTTCTTTTAATCTGATGACTGGAAAAGAAGCCAGATGTGTATATTGATGTTCTATTTCTACTACCACAGGTTTGTGAACTTAGACACACAAGACAAGACTGCATTAGTCTCACTTTCGCTCACAGATGAACCAATTGCTGTTGATGTTGTGCGGCACAGTAGTCGAGACAAGGTAGGGAGTAGTCTCATGGAGCTATTTCTAGCTCTGCAGCATTTTCAAAATGCAGAACCTGTAGATCACTTCTATTAGTAATGTGTCGAGTGTACTGACCATCATAGCAAATCTTGACTTGAAAAAGACTGTTGCTGTTGCTGGCAGTGCATTTTGTATGTAGCATCTTTATGTAGACTGTTGTATTGATAAACTGAGCTTTTACATGCAGGTTAGTGCGCAGGAAGAAATGTGTTTAGTAAGCATCACTTATTTTTAATTGTCTTTAGCCAATTCACATCGCTGTTGCCTCAAAGGATGGTCAACTTCATATTTTTGAATATTCTCTAAATGGGTAAGTGTTTTTGTGCATAATTGTTACAGTACTGTCTTACACACATAACTTGCCTTCCCAGCTTTGCTTCATAAAAATAAATTTTTGTCCTGCATTTGTTACAATAATGGAGATTGAGTTTGTTGGTGGACTCTCTTAATTTGCATTATTTCACGGCTTGTGTTTATAGCCCATATAATGCGCAGTCTAATTCTAGGTCATTAATCTCCCACAGGCCAATTACAGGCCTGCAGAAACAAAGCAAAAAGCCATATCATAAACAACACATTAACCTTGAATGTTCGGTCTTAACAGGAAAATCTCAAATCTCTGCCATTCAGTATTGACCTCACTATCGCTCGGTCAATATGGCTAGACCAAAGTTTGAGATTTTCCCATTAAGACCTCACTTCCGGTTAATACTGTAAGTAGTTAGTAATAACTGATATTTTATTGTTTTAGTGGTGGTAAGAAGCCATTAAGACCCACAAAAACAGTCCAGCTTGCATCTTCAGAAAAAAAGGTAAATTATATCTTAAGTTGGTAGAATGTCTTAGATCATGCAATTTATTTAGTTTTACTCCATATTAGAACAATAAGTTCTTTAAGCACTGAGCTGCTTTTTTGCCTTTATGCTTTTAGGAAGGAACCCCGTCACCCATACCAGTGTTATGTGTCCGTTTGTTGTCTGGAAAAGAACCTGAAGTGTTGATTGCCTATGGTTCTACAGTGAAACCACAATTTGAAACTTTGGTGAGAGATTAATATTTAATGCAGTATGTTGGTTCTGTACATGTAGATGTATGCGGGATATAACTTCTGAATCAGCTTTTCAGAGTATAAATCAGTTTAGTATCACCCAACTAGTGGACTAATGCAAATCCTGCATTTTAATTGGCTACACTACTAGAGGACTATTAGTAATAGTCTTCAAGTAGCGAAATTGGTGTAATCGAGTGTGACGTTTTTTTTTTTGTTTGTTTGTTTCATTCCCAATAAAATATTTCTTCAACTTGCATTTGCTAACTTTCTTATTGCCTTTTCTGTCCGACTGGTTGGGTGATACTAAAACAATTAGAGCCTTCGCCCTTAAGGGCCACAGGTCAATAGCCCACGAGGCTTCATGGGCTATTGAATCATAGCCCTTGCGGGGTATGGGTCTAACTGTTAAGTAGAATCCTGCTGTATAAGCATCTCTTTAATATGGCCACCTTGTTTTTATGGCCGCTTTTTTGTGTCTGGAAAAAAGGCTATGTCATTTTGAGCTCTTGAAAGTGTAGTGTATCTTGAAAACTCTTATAAAAATTTTAACATGATCTCTAATAAATGTTTTCTGTTTTATTCTTTCATCATTACAGGCTTATTCGACAATGGAAGAACACACATGCCTGATGCGAGAGAACACGTCAAACCTCCTCCTGAACAACAGTTCACATGAACCCTTTCAAGTCGACAAAGGTCAGGCTTCCTTTTCAGAGATGACAACCCTGGGTGCAGGAAATATGGCACTGGCAACTCCTGCTCCACTGTCAGAAGAGGATCATACAACAACAAAAAGGAAAACAAGAGATCTAAGAACAGAAACCCCAGAGGAACAGGTGTGTTTAATATAATCTTTGGAATTCTATCAAGTGATCTGGATTTTGCTACTTCTCCAAGATTACATGTCAGTCCATCTCAAGACAATGCAACATTTTATCAGGTTCATCAATACTGACATTCTGTCAGGTTCAACAATATCTTTATTGAGGGCTTGAACCATAACCATTTGTTATGGAGTCCTGTGTACAGCCATGTCACCACCTGTTTATTTGTGCATTTGATGCATACATCGTGAAGGTCACTATCTTTGCAAACTTTGATCATTGATTATAGGAATCGTGTTAAAAATAATAATTTCCGACCCATTACCCCTCTGGGTTCATGGTCAAAAGTTAAAGTCATTAAAAATAAAATCAGAGAGGGCCAGTTGCGTGGTTTTATAGTTAAAGAAGACAGTAACTGGAAATTCAGCAGAAGTATGTTTTTATCAACAAGATTTTTGGATTTTTCTTTTACAGAGTATTGAAGACCGGTTAAGAGCAATAAACAATGCATCTTCGGAAACGCAAAGGTATATAATACAAATGTATGAGGGGTAGTTTGTTGTTGACATTGAACGTTTTTGTTAATGGACTATCATTTTGGAATTGGTATATAAAAGACACAAGGACTGGTTATTTTGTTGTTAGTTACAGTCACAGTTTGCAATCACTTATGGCTGGTGAGTGTGCGTACCTCTCCAGAAAAGTGGGTGAGATTGTGAACCATCTTTGGTGACATCTGGGATAATATCAAGGTGGATTCTTTGGAGGGCTGAATAACCAAAGAATCAGAATGTCAAAGTCATTGAATAAAGTAAATATAATTGTTGTTGTTGTTTTTGTTTTTTTTAATTCCGTTATCCCAAGTAGATTGGTTGTATCATGTACCACCTTTTTCCCTTTGTACTGAGTACCTCTAATCATACTTGTGGTTTTATGCATGGTCGTTAACCACACAATCCTGGATCTGCAGGTTCCAGTCCATTGAATGACACTATATGACCGTATGCTATACAACCTGCTTGATTTATTTGCAGAAGGAAAAGAAGTGGTCCTCCAACAGCTGATTCATTGGCGCAGATACTCATACAGGCTCTTCATAGTCAAGATAATACTCTTCTGGAGGTCTGATACTGTGAAATATTTTATGGAATACAGCTGGTTACTTAAAGTTTAAATAGCAAAGATCCACTGAGATCTACAGATTAACCTCAGTTAAGAGGTTTCTGTCCCGCCATTTCAGAGTCGCAGTTTGATTTGCAAGGCTAAGGGAGACTTGTGCTTGCTAAAGCGATTTTAGTGTCACCATCTTACAAAGTCTTGAATTTACCATTTCACTACCCCTCAAAGACATTTTTATAGGCTTACTCTTTAGCCAAAATGTCTTTAGATCAATAAAAGCTGCTATCAAGCTGTCACTTCTCATTTTAACAATCAAGTTGATTCTAATAAAAATGACCTGTTGGAATCATATTATAGTTATGTGTAAGTTCAATAGCTACATTGACTTCAGCTGTATTTTTTAATCAATTTGCAGGATGTATTACGACATGGAGGAAAGAAAGAGTCAGTTATGAAAAACACAGTTAAAAGACTCCCTGTAACTCTAGCGATTCCTTTCTTAAAAGAGGTTTGTTGTCTACATCATATAAATACAAGCACATGTTTGGATCTTCTTTTTATTGGTAATTTACATTTTTATTTTATTTTTATTCCAGCTTGTGCACAAAATGGAAGCTACTCCTTGGAGGTGAGTGCAAGTTGCAATAGTCTCATTGCTACATGCTAAGGAAACCCAGATAAGTTCCTATATTGGCCCAAATTTTACTGCCAAAACTCTTCACCTTTGCCTTACCTATGGATTACAGTCAAACCTCCACTAACAGCCTCCTCTCTCCAACAGCCACGTTCTTAGTTGCAGCAGACATTCTATATATTCACTCTTATTTTAACCTCTCTACAAGAGCTACTTCTCCATAGCAGCAACTGCCACTGAAGTGAAACCAACTGCCAAAATAATCTTGCAGCAATGGTCAGTTAATCAATGACTGACAAACAGTGTTTACAAAATCCCATTTTTTATTGCAAAATGTTGCAAAACTTGATCCGTACCGCAGTTCATTGGCCTCTGTTGTTGTTTGGTTTCTGTTTCATTGATATATTTTGATTGTGTTACGTATTTACATGCTACAAAAAGCATTTCTCAACAATAAAAATGCTGCACCCCTACCCCCTAAAAGAGCAGGTGTCATATTACACCCCTAGCTTCCCATAGCAGCCACCTCTCTATGGCAGCCACTTTCCTCTGTCCCCTAGGTGGCCATTATGGAGAGGTTCAACTGCATTAGAAACTTTACCATGACAACATTAGTAAGTACTTCATGTACTTAAACAATTATTGTTTTTGTTTTGTCTCCAAATTTCAGGGGAGAACACCTGATTTTATGGATCAAACATATTTTAAGTGCCCACATGGCTTATTTAATGACAGTAAGTCTTTTCACCGATATACAACTATAATGAATAGATTGCCTATGTTTCAGATAGAATAGAAAACATTTTTGATGCTTCTATTGGCTTAAGAACCCAAGTGGAAGTTTTGAAGAATGTGACATGCTTTGGGGACATGAGCCCTTGGCACAACTTATTCAAATTCTCCCAAACTTTCATTTGTTGTAGTTATCAAAATATATGCTGTTTTTGCTCATATAAACATTAGGTAAACAGTTCATGCTACATGTAGGAAACTGTGTTTTTATAGTCAGAGTTATGGAAATACAGATCCTGTGTGTATAATAAAGCTGGGGGTTTATTAAAATTTCATACAACTTGTATACCATCTTTGGGCAGAGAACCACCAAGTCTATTTTCATTCAAGTAAGGTTGTTCCAAGTTGTCCACATTTTCCATTAAACACATTCAAGAAATTTTGGTAACAGGTATTCCTTTTTCTTTTCTCTGACCAATTTATTGTATTCTGCATAACAGGTACCGGATCTTGTGCACTCACTGAGTGGATTATATGCCATGATGGAATCACGTGTGGGTGCTTTTACTAAACTGTGCAAGCTTCAAGGCCGTCTGGACCTGATGCTCTCACAGGTATGTGTGTTTTGAAATAACTGATGGTTGAAATGATAATTATTCATTGACTGACATCAGAGGACCACAATGTGTGAACAGGACTACAAAGCCCTACATACCTAGCACTATCAAATCCTATGCGGGGAACTCTCTTTACCAGAGACATGAATGATGAGTCAGTTTTGTGATAGGAATTGCCGTCAGATCAGTTATTATTGAAATGATAATTATTCACTGACTGACATTAGAGGACCACAATGTGTGACCAGGACTACAAAGCCCTACATGCCTAGCACTATCAAATCCTATGCAGGGAACTCTCTTTACCAGAGACATGAATGATGAGTCAGTTTTGTGATAGGAATTGCCGTCAGATCAGTTATTACCTGAAGACATCTTAAACTCTGACTGTCTCTGGGACAATAATGTTCCACCTAAATAATGCTTTAATTCGTAAATTCTATTCCATAGACTTAGTTCTGAGGGTGTTCTTGTTCTTTCTGTTTGTAGGTGGATTCTCAGAGCTATGGTGCCACAGATGAGGATGAGCATGTTGAGCCTGCAGTTGTGTATCAAGAGGAAGGTGTGAAATTTTATTTTTATGACTGTATGACCTTCCCTACCCCAATCATGTCCAGCTATTCATTTACAACTTGCTGTTTGAGATGTACATTTTTACGTGCTAAGTGAAATACACCCTTTTCTCTTCCACTTCCTAAACACAATGCACATTTGTTGAACAATTCATGTTACATTTACGGGGTATGTAGTTCAAACCAGTCTGTGTACATCAGTGAACGTAAACGGGCTACAATACATGTGCATGTTTAACACCTTATTAATAGATATGATCGCTGTGTATTAGGCTGCTTACTGTGAACCTAACATTTACATATAGTCTTACACGCTTGTGATAAGGCTTTGCTATTTGGGTACTCTCCATGTTTTACCGTACTGGTAACGTGTATCATTGTACTAAAGCATAACTGTTCATGCATAAGATTTAGTTCTACCTACTAAAGTTACAGTCTAAATGTACATGTATGCCAGGTAGCCTTTCCTTAGTAAGCTGAGAACACCGCTTTTTTTAATTCAGGTATCTAAAAGACTTCTCTCAGTGTGAGGTTAAATCACAACTTTGTTCATTTTTGTTAGACTCTGAAGAGGAGCCTCTTGTGCCTATGGAGACTGAACACTCAGAATCTGATGTATGTTATATTCACTGAGTATAGTTTGTGTGTTGTAGAAAGGTCTTTCGATAGTAGTAGCCCAGCTTCACATTTGAGTCGCAAAATGTCGAAAAAATTAACTTCTTTCCCTTAACGTTCTGCTAAGTAGCTTTCGTTTCATAGCTTTCACACTAGGGTGTCAAATGCAGACTTAAGTTAGAACCACTTTGACAGCATAATAAACAGTACCACATGGAAATGCTGCTCAATAGCTTTCATTTGAATGGTCACACACTAGAGTTTCATCTTCTGTTGAATCTGAATTATTTTTCCTGACATTTTATTGCTCGGCCTCGCTAGCGTCTAACCCGTTGTGCTATAAGCACTGACTGAAGGCAAATAATAGATTTTAACTGTTTATTTTCATTATTTAACAAGAGATGATGTTACTTTCTTAGGAAAATTGGGAAGAGGAGGCAGATGAGGAGTCAGCTTCAGAATCAGAAGAAGAAAGTGAGACTGAAATTGAAGAAAATAATGAAGACGATGAATCCGACGAGGAAAGTTGAATGTACAAATTCTCAAAAAACAGATCACACTGTAATTAGGTTTTACAGAATAAAAATAATAAGTT